AAGACTATCCACTTTCCTGTCCCCAGATTGCCAAACAAGAGCAAAACCACTCTTTGGATCTTCTTTCCCAAGCCGGAGGGGCTCCCGTTCCTGCCACGCGGGTTTGGTTTCGCTCAGCTCAAGTCCACGCTCTGAACCGCCGGCCGTGCCCGCTGGCCAAGCAAGCTTTGGGAGGAAGGAGGGGGATGAAGGACTGCCCGTCTCTCGCCCACCTCTGCCGACTGGGAGAAGGGCAGAGCTCTGCCCCGGCGGTGCCGAGGGGCCTCTCTCAGAGCGGTTGGCGCCTCGGAGCTGTGCAGCCGTCTGCTCGGGATGCAGGTGGAGGGTGTCTGTGTGCGTGCCCACATTGGATTTGTTTTTTGTTTGTTTTTTAATTCGTTTGGGTAGGTATTTTTGTTACTGCTGCTGCTGCTGCTGCTTCTTCGTGTCTAAGTGTCGCCCAGATTGTTGCTTCCTTCGTTCAGACGCTGCACGTTCCGAGAGGGGGAGAGAAAGGTTCACCAACCTGATGCCTTTCTGACCATCAGCCCATCTCTTTCCACTGCTTGTAGAACTCCAGGACGTTTTTTATTTCTACGCTGGCGTTGGCGGCTGCCTGGATGGCAGACTGCAAGCAAACACAGACAAAACAGGCAGTTATTGTTTTCCTTGCCCTGACAAGACAACTGCTGTTCCCAAACTGGGGGCTCTCCGGCAGGCTGGCATGGCTGGAAGGCCCAATCCTCCCAATTCTCCTTGCTCTGGCACAAGAGGCCTGCACAGACATGGAATTCAGTTCTACCACCTCTCCCCGGATACTCTGTACCACAAGAGCATGACAAATCCAGGAACTTTCAAGGAAGAAGGAATCTCAGCTTACAAGCTAACTTTGGGAAACCCAGGAAAGTTATTAGCCAAGGCAGAAAACATTAAAAAAAAAATATCCTGTCAATCAATCTTATTTTACCATTGCTAGGAAGCAGAACAGCTCAACTCAGCCAGAAGAAAGCTACTGACCTGCATGGGCACCGAAAATGTGCTTGGGTCCTCCAGCTGGAAGCCTGTGATGATGGTGACCATTCCCGTGGTGTCGTCCTCTCCGCTCCCTTGGGACACTGTCAGTTGTTTGCAGCTGTCCAGTATTTTATAGAGATTCCTGCCAGAAGAGAGAACCAGAGGGGAAGGTCAGTGGGAAGACCACACCTGCTTGGGAGGACACGTGGGAAGGACTTTTCTGAGAGCCTTCTGAGCAAAAAGCACTCGGTGTGAGATGTGCAGATGGATGTCCCTAACTTCAGGGAACTTCATCATTACTCACTACACTGGGTTTGTGTGGCCAGGTTTTGGTCATGGGGGAGCTACAGGGGTGATTTCTGCGAGAAGCTGCCAGAAACAACAAGTGACCGTGGCCCCCATTCCCTGTCTCCCTGCGCCGCCGGGCGGGGAGGAGGGAGAACTTGGATGAGGGAGGGGTGGGGGGAAGATGTTTTTATTTTATTTCTCATTTTCCTGCTCTGATTCTGTCAGTATTTAATGAGTATCACCACTTTGAGCCTGTTTTGCCTGTGACAGTGGTCCTTATCTCAACTCATGAATCTCTCCTCTGTCCAGTTGCAGAGGGGAGTGAGAGAGTGGTTTTGGTGTGTCCAGCTGGGGTTAACCCACTACACTCACATAGAACAAGTTTTATTATGGGTTCCAGTGCTAACACCTCTCCCCAAAGCCACCTGCCTGCTGGGAACCAGGCTCAGACACCTTCAGATGCTGAAATCTTACCAGGCATCTAAATCTTGTCTCTTCAGTTTATGCCTCTCAAAGCTCTTCCCAACATCCTTCTGGCAACGAATGTACCTAAGGAGAGAGCAGAGTCTCTGAACTCACGTGGAGACCATCACACAGACCAAAGTCAGTGCCCCACAGCAGCTCCTCCAGGTGCTGCAGGGCCTTTTACTGGCTATTTCCAACCCAGATAACACCCAAAGGCCTGCCCAAGGAATCCCCTGTGAAACTCTTTGATCACCTCCCTGCCTCACCATCATCCCTGCTCACAGCACCACTCCTCAGAGCCCACCAGCCCCTCAGTTTGTCCTCACAGCTCTCTGTGCTTCTGCAGAGCACCGAGGCACAGTCCGGCTCTGCCAGCACTCCCCGGTGCAAAGGGCACTGCTCTGGTTCACACAGGGACACAGATGCAACTCCCCCATTCCTCAGAAGCAGCTGCACTTCACAGCTGAGCAGCAACTACCAGCACATCTGGAGAACCAGGTGAGAATCTGCTACTTCACCACCTTTCTGTTCCTGAAGCTTGGCTTTCCCTTGATCCACTCCCTGCTCTGCTCCAAGGGATGCACAGCCTGCTCCCACCACTGTTGTTCTCTTCCACCCCAAAGCCCACTCATTCCAAAAGAAAGGACAAATCACATCCCTCTCACCTGTTTCCCTTTTTAAACTCTGCCTCCAGGTACCGGATGCTGTCCCGAGCACCGGCGTTCTCCTTTTTCAGGAAGTCTAAGCCATCAATAACTAACAAAAAGAAGAAAAAAAAAAAAGAAAGAAAACCATCTTGCTTACAGTTCTACTTCTGCAAACTAATCCAGAGGTGTCAAGTATTCCCCATTCCACCAAACTCTCTCTGGTGCAGGAGTGGGGACAGGACCCCTCTCCCCCAGCTGTTCTCCAACACCCTCTGCTGGATTCCAAACACGTCTTTGGAAATGGAGTTGCAGCTGCTCCAGCCCAAGCCAAGGAGGAGGGAAAGCCACCGCTCCCAGCACAGAGGGGGCAGGGGCAGGCAGCCCCAGGTACCTGCCGTGGAGTCCCCGTACCTGTGCGAGGGATGATGATGATGAACCTCCCGCTCGTGGCCAGCTGCTTGACCAGGGCCAGGTGCTGGCAGAGGGCCTGGGTGTCCGGGACAAGGTAAGGAGACATGGCTGACTGTGCCTTGGGCTGCTGGAGACTCCCCTCCAGCTGAGACACCTCCAGCTGAAAACACAGATGCAGAGACACTGGCTTCACATTTACGCCGAAACAAACCATCAAACAGGGCAAGCCTCGCCCTGCAAAGCTCCATCAGGCCCTTCCAACCTCCCAGCACACGGAGCAGAGGGCTGGGTGCAGCAGAGGGTCAGTGAGAGATGACAGGCCCACTCTCACTGCCCTAGCACGGCCCCACCTCGAGTACTGGGAGCAGTTTTGGGCACCTCAGTGTAAGGACATTGAACTATCAGCTTGAGCTGCTAAGGTTACTCAGCCTGCTCAGCTTGGAGCAGAGAAGGCTGAGGGTGATCCCCCACCACAGCCTTCCCCATCTTCAGAGGGGTCAGCGATGGGGAGGTGTTGATTTCCTCTTTCCTATGACCAGCAATGGGACATGAGGAAATGGTTTATTCCATCTGCAGTTTCATTGCTGCATTGGGAGAACAGTTTAGGTTGGACATCAGGAAAACTTTCTTCCCCCAGAGGGTGGCTGGTCCCTGGAACATGTTCCCCAAGGCAGTGGTCATGACACCAAGTCTGCCAGAGCTCAAGGAGTGCCTGGACAATGCTCTTGGGCATTCCATTTATTTTTAGGTAGCCCTGTGAGGAGCAGGGAGTTGGACTCCATGATCCCTTCCAGCTTGAGATATTCTACACTTCAGTCTATGCAGAACGGACTTATTGCCTCTGTGTGGGATGGGAGTAGAGAGTTCCCCCTTCCCTTCCCTTCCCTTCCTAGTTTCTGACATTCCAGCCACTACCCTGCTGGTTTTCAGGCTGGAACAGGCATTTCCTACCTGCAGTCGAAGCTGAGCCATGTCCCTCATGAGCCTGTTCCGACGAGCTTCCTCTGCAGCCTGGTTGCAAAACCAAACTTCCATATCAGTTAGCAGGAAACACACCAGCTGACATTAGCACACACTTCCAAAACCAGGGTGAAAAAGGGACACCCAAGTAGGTTTAAGGAGCAGAACAGTCATCTCCCCCCCAAAGATCTGCACTTACAGTTACAACCTAATAGCAACCTACAGGAAACTGTGCCAAGCACAGAAAATTCATCCACCTCTGCCAACTCACCATGTGAAATTGGGCCTGGGCCTGGTGCACCAAGTTGTCTTGGTCCGACTGTGCTATGCTGATGAAGATCCCCAGCTCTGAGTTGAACTGCAGGATGCTGCCCTGGAGGTGGGTAATGAAGTGACCGAAGCTCCGGATGCAGCAGATCCGCACGACAGACTGCAAGGAAGAACAGGCAGTCCCAGCCTAAACCTCTGCTCAGGCCCTCAGTGCCGGGAAAAGGAACCACATAAAACAACAATCCAGGCCTGATTTTTTTCCCCAGGATTTATCCCAAACTCACCTCCTCAACTGTTGAGAAAATGGGCCGGTCCTGCTCAAAGTTAAACCTCCTGTGTGCGTTTTTCAGAGGGGGCAGATTGCGCAGGGCCACGTCTTCCGGGAGCAGCAGGTTGGCCTTCAGGTCTGGGAGCTCAGCCTCACTCAGGATGTCCTTGACTTCATCACAGAGGGCCAGCCCTGAAGAGGAGGGGCAGGAGGGAGAACAAAACAACAGGTAAGGGGACAAAGAGGAGAGCTGCTGTAAGGCACATGACCTGCAATGGTCACTGGCAGAGGTGTTAATGACACGTGTCCCGTGAGCACCTGCTCGAGGAGGAACCAAAAGGCCATCCACAACATAAAGAGCAGCTGTCCCAAACAGCCTGCTGAGTGACTCCAGGAATTCTCCCATTTGGAGGGATAGCTTTCTCACTCCTTCCAACAGATGAACATCCCTGCTTAAACTCTGCTTCTTGCAAACCACAGGGATCTTCAGGCTCAGCCCCAAAGAGGCACAGGGGATATCACGAGCAGCTGGAGCTCCAAAACTATTTTCCAGGGTTGCCATGACAAAAATCACAGCCTTACTTCTGCTCCTGGCAGTGAATTTCACTCCTGCTGGCCACACATGGATTTTCACACGCTGGTGTCAGTGTTTCAGTATGCTGCCAGCCATATATAATATGATTTTTGTTTATGATTTTTGGAGTTGTCCTGTCAGGGCCAGGAGTTGGACTTGATAATCCAGGGGGGCGTGCCTTCCAACTCAGGATATTCCATGATTGTATGACTCTAGAGTCTGTGGGATAGTATTTAACTGGAAGGGTGTTTTAACAAAGGAAAAACAACACGTGCATGTGTCGCTTCCCACTGTGCTTATAAAAACTACTCCTGGGAAATATGTCCCCCAGGATCTCCCTGGGAGATCTGTGAGGACTGGGCTGGGTGAATGACATCGCCATTTCCTCCTCCAGTACCTGATTCCTGCAGGTCTGCAGCAGAAGGCAGAAGGTTCAGGAGCACAGACAGCCTGTTCCACAGGCTCTGGGAGCTCTGCAGGAAAAGAACACAAAAGGCCACAGAAAATGTCAGGAGAGATGTACACAACAACCAGGCCACTTGAGCCTTCCAGCACCTCACAGCCCTCAGAATGCTTTATGAAGAGTAAACCCCACTACCCTTCTTAAGTCCAGGTGAGCTTAATTCAGCTGGTGGGGGATGTAACATCACCCTCTGTCAGGGACTGGGGCTGTGGCTGCCACCTGCCCTCCACATCCCAGCCCAGGGGAGCTGACCAGACACAGCCCTGGAGGGAGCCCTGCCACCATCCCCACCTGAGCACACATGATGATGAGGTCTGTGTTTGTCCTCAGCCAGTCCAGGAACACCTTGACCGTGAGCAGCAGCCCCTCGTTGGTCACGATCTCCAGCTTCTCCTGAAGGGATCGCTCGTTCCTGCAGGATTTGTTACTTGAAATGCTTTCCTCAGAGTCAGACACATCATCTGCAAAACAAAGGGGAGTGCAGGATGGCAGGTGTTAAACCCACTGAGATGCCAAGCCCTGCTGGTGTCAGAGCAGCGCTGAGCTGGTAAAGAGTTGTGTTGAACTACTTGGTGCCTCCACACACTCTCACAAAACCAGTCCCTTTTCCACCACAGCCCCCTGTGCTGCTACCAGAAGGTATCACTCCTGCATTTTCATCTTCCCTGGGAGAAGAGGACTAAGATCTCCCTGTGAGGGAGAGAGAGATTTGCTGACAGAGCAGGGCAGCACGTGCCTGCACAGGGAGCAGGGCAGCTCCTGCAGGGAACAGAGCCAGCAGTGGCCACGAGTCCAGCACACTGGCCACCTTTGGGCCAGGCAAGAGAAGGAAATGGCAGGGCTGTCCTATGACCCAGGCCCGGGGAATTTTAAAAATTGAATATATTCTTTGCAATCCTGTAACTCTCCAGAGCTGAGGATCTCAAAGCCACTGCCAGTGGAATCACACGTGGCACACGTGATCTGAGGTCTAGGTGGGAATCAACGACACGTTTTGCTACAGCCCCTTATTTCAAGGGCTGCCACTGCTGCCTATTAACAGAGCATTCCATAAACCTTTGGAATCAGAAGGGAGGAGGTGGTTTATTCAGAACCCATCCCTGACACACCACAAAACAGCAGTTTGGAAACAGCACAGCCAAGAAGAGCTCACAGCTTAAAAAAACACCAGGGGTGAGTGAACACATTCCACCTCTCGTCTTCTGCTTCTGTAAAGGTATCGTGGCCACAGTTCCTGGAGCTGCAACATCTGGATAACCCACTGAGGAAAAGGGTTAAAAACAGACCAAAACCCATTTGTTTTTTCCTTTGCCCCCCATCTCTTTCATGTGCCCATGAAGCAATGCTGGGGGCCAGTCAACACTGACATGATCTAATACTGCCCCTTCAAATTCTGGCCCAGGACAGGCCTGAATCCTGCCAGTGCTGCAGGCCAGATGGATTTGGCAACAGGCTGCAGAATGTTTCCTTGCTCCAGGAAAGCTGGAAGGGATGACAAACAAGGCCGAACAGGCCCATGTGGTTGTATCTGGAACACAAACAATTCCCTGTAGTGCACCAGATCTCCCTTTCCAGCTGCTCTTGCCCAGAGCATCACTTGGTCCTAAGTTGGGTGGTAATGGAGATATGGCAGCTCCACCTGCTGTGCATCTCCAGGGAGTTCAGCCTGGAACACTTGGTGAGGCACTTCCAGGGGGTCACAGAGAGGCCCCCGACACCTCTCACGAGCACCCAGGTCACATCTTACAGACAAACTCCTGTGAGAGCTTCGCAGGGTTGATAAGCTGTCATCTCATGGGGAACCTCCTCCCCTGCATCTGCACTGTCTGTCACCAGAGGCCCTAGTAAATGTCTGATTGGGGATTTCACATGGGAAAAAGGAAGATAATTCCAGTCTTTAATACATGCTGGAATCATCCTCTGAAGCCAGCATGGTTTCACCAAGGCAAATCGTGCCTGACAAATGTAGTGGCCTTCTATAATGGGGTTACAGCAGCTGGGGATGAGAGAAGAGCAACTGACATCATCTACCTGGATCTGTGTAGAGCATTTGGCACCGTCCCTCGTGACATCCCTGTCTCTAAACAGGAGAGATGTGGATTTGATGGATGGACCATGTGGTGGACAAGGAAGTGGCTGGATGTCCCTCTCAAAGAGCTGCAGCCAATGGTTTGATGTCCAAGTGTAGAGCAGTGATGAGTGGCATCCTCAGGAGTCAGGACTGGGACCAGCACTTCTTAACATCTTTGTTGGTGACGTGGACAGCGAGATCAAGTGCACCCTCGGTCAGTTTGCCAACAGCACTGAGTTGTGTGGTGGGGTCACAGGCTGGAGGGAAGGGATGGCACCAGAGAGACCTGGACAGGCTGGAGAGGTGGGTCTGTGCCAACCCCAGGTGGGTCAGCGAGGCCAAGGGCAAGTACTGAACTGGGGCAACCCCCCAGAAACACAGATCGAGGGAGAATGGCTGGAGAACAGCCCAGAAGAGAAGGACTTGGGCGTGTGGGGTGACAAGAAGCTCAACATGACCCAGCCACGTGCACTGGGAGCCCAGAAAACCAACGCAGTGCTGTTCTCATCCCCACAGTGTGGGCAGCACCTGAGGGGAAATTCTGCCCCTCTGCTCTGCTGAGGTGAAACCCCCCCTGCAGAGCTGCCTCCAGCCCTGGGGCCCTCAGCACAGCAAGGACCTGGAGCTGCTGGAGCAGGTCCAGAGGAGGCCACGGAGATGTTCCAAGGGCTGGAGCCCCTCTGCTCTGGAGCCAGGCTGGGAGAGCTGGGGGTGTTCAGCTGGAAAAGAGTCTCTGGGGAGACCTGAGAGCCCCTTCCAGGGCCTAAAGGAGCACCAAGAGAGATGGAGAGGGACTTTGGACAAGGGCCTGGACAGGACAAGGGGAAATGGCTTTAAGCCGAAGGAGAGTAAATTTAGATGAGGTATTCGGAAGAAATTCTTCCCTGTGAGGTTGGGGAGGCCCTGGCCCAGGTTGCCCAGAGAAGCTGTGGCTGCCCCATTCCTGGAAGTGTCCAAGGTCAGGTTGGACAGGGCTTGGAACAACCTGGTCTAGTGAAAGGCATCCCTGCCTGTGGCAGGGACGTGGAACAAGATGAGCTTTAAAGTCCTTTCCAAACAAACCAGTCTGTGACCTTGTAATTATCTGAGCTGCTCAGTGTTTAGTCTGTGGAGCCAAAGCTGTTCTGGTAACCCTGGCTGGCTGCAGGTGTTGCCTCTGCTCAGTGCCCATATTCCTGCATGTTGGGCACTAAAAGCAAAGCTCCTCCTTCAGGGAATGGCTAACCCAAGGCCTGCCCATTACCTGGGCAACCTTGTTCTCCAAACCTGGCCAAAGGAGAGCTCCCACCATGAGAAAAGGTGAATTTAGCGAACAGACTGCCACAACGTGCAGTTTTCTACTCAGAACTGCAGCAACAAGGCCCTTACCTTGCTCTGCCAAGCTGGGCTTCTCCAGGTCTCCATTGACACAAGGTTTGCTCTCTATCCCGTCCTTCAAGGCAGGTGGCTCGCTGTTGGGTTTCAGGAGGATGTTGCTGAACGTGGGGGCCAAGCGGAAGCAGCGTTTGGTCTGGAACAGCTGAGTGGACATGGCCTGCAGGTTACTGGCTATGCTTGCGTCGTTCGTGCTCAGGGAAGCCGGCCCATTGACTGCTGGATCTGCTGCCTCAATTTTAGAGATGCTTGGGCTCTTGGAGTCCCCCAGCCCACTGCCATCCACACAGTTTTTTAAGGCCTCTTTGGGCCCGCTTTTGCCTCGGCCGCTTCCCTCCTCACCCGGCTCATCCTCCATGTCCTCCAAGTCGGACCGAGACTCTTGGCTGTTCATGTCAGAGTCTGTCTCCACATCAAAAGCAGCTTCTGCTTCCTCGTCACTCTTCTCTGAGCCACTCTCTGAGCCATCGCTGCCCTTGATGGAGCCCTGGCTGGAGTCAGAGTCAAAGCCCTCGCTCAGGTCGCTCTCATCCACCTTCTGGGGGTGGCGGCGGCGGCGCAGACAGGAGAGCCGCGAGTATTTCTTGCTTTTCTTGCAGTCGTTCTTCCGCTGTTCCTCGCTGGGCTGATGATTGGCCAGCTCAGCTTCAGCTTCCTTCTCAATGGAGTTCACAGGCTCCCGTGACTCCTGATCATCTGCATTTACAGGGAGAACACAAGTTAAAACTCACGGTGTGTCCCACAGGCTGCTGCCTGCCAGCCCCGAGCCTGGGGAACCAGGGCTGCAAAATTCAGCCACCACTTCCATCAGTGCCAGAACAAGCAGTGGCAACCCCAGAAGAGCTACTCACTCTCTAAAGGCACCTGGGAAGCCCAGGGAAGCTGTGATCCCTACTGCCCAAGCTGTGCTGCTCCATTACCAGGCAGCCTTAGTGCTGAGTGCTGCTAAACCAACACCAAACACAGATGAATCCCAACTCTGCTCCCCACCTTTCTACAGTCAGAGCAACCCACCAAACAAAAGGCAATGACCTGAGCCAATCCCTTCCTTGGCCAACATTCTCCCAGCCTTTCCAGCAACCCTGAGTCACCCTGACAGCTTCCAAACCTGCAGGGGAGGGGTTGCTCGTTGCTTGTACCAGGACCCCTCTCACCCTGCCTTCAGCGAGGTACTGCAAACAGAATGTTTGCAGGGGAAACTTTCAGCAGTTTCATTCTCTGCTCAATGGGATTCCCCAGAAACTTAAGAGCTGCCCTTGCCTTAGCAGAGCTGAGGTATGCTGAGAGGGTCTGTCTCCCTCAGCCTCCCTCTGCCTACCAGGTCTTTCACCCAAAATCATCTCCTCAGTGGAGGAGGAAAAAGACCAGTAAACAACAGTAAACAGAGAGACAGAAAATAAAGTCTCAGACTGGGGTAAACAGGTGAATGAGCTGTCAAGAAACACAGAAAGCAAACTCCTTACAAGGAAAGCAACATGTCCATCCTGTGATGATTCAGATACTCACAAAGAGCATCCAAAAGGAGACTGCTCAGCAGGTCATCCAGCTTTGGGGATTCCAGCCCAGCAGTCAGAGATCAAGATGCCTCTGCCCTCACTCAGGCACTACACCACCAAACCCGTGCCCAGAAAATTAGGAAAGGAAAAGCCAGCCCTATAGGCAGGCAACTGGGGAGAGCCAACTGCTGCCATGACTGTTCTCTTACCTGTGCCATCACTCTGAAAGGCTGGGACGGGATTTTCCCCTTCTTCTAGCTCTGCCTGGAGGCGAATATTGACGTGATTTATCAGGTGGGAGAAGAGGGCCAGCGTGAAGGCAATGGCTGCGCTGTACTGCTTGGAACCTGCAACCAGACAGCGGGGTGGAGGAGCTGAGCACCAGGCCACAGCACAAACACCACTTCACATAGCACCTCCAGCCCAACTGCAGTTAAATTCCCAAGTAAAGCACTGGTTACCTGCCCTCTTGAGGCTGTGAACGCTCATAAGGCAGATGATGACCATGCGGAAGATCAGGAGGTCAGGAAGGAAGGAGTAGCCGCTCTCATACTCTTCTTCATCTTCACTGCTTGAGCCCAGGTTAGGAGGAGAGGGCAGGTAGAACAAGCACAGGTTGAAATCCTCCAGCACAGACTGGCAGAGAGACGTCAGCTCAGAATCCAGAGAGCTTAACAAGAGTTAAAAATAAACAAGAATTATTGCTCAAGACTCGGGCTCCTGGCAATGTCTGCATAGAAACTGAACCAAAACTGGCAGTCAGGCTGTCCTTCAGCACCAGGCAGGACGAAGCACTAGAGAATATACTGCAGGCAGCAACAACTACGGGAAGCAAGTGACATTAATCAGATCCTGCTTTCCTCTCTAAAGTTGTTACACTGAAAACAAGTGAGAACTAGAGATGGGTCACCAGAAACCAGATGACTTTTGCCATGGGAGCTCAGAAGTGGCCATTAAGGTACACAAGGCACTTCAATGCTAAAGGGAGCAAAAGCTGCAGAAGCAGATGCTCAGTGCAAGTGTTACACTGCACACACACAGGACTCAGCCTTTCCTCCTCCCATGTCTCTTAACTTGCAGCCCAGCAAGAATATTCCAAAATCCTCTGTAGCTATTCCCTCCCTCAAGGGAAGCACCCACAGGATCAGTCCAACGGGCTATGAGGGCCTCCTAGTTACAAAACAAACCCGCCAGCAGAACTTCCAGCAAATCCTTTTCAGGGGGAATTGTCCTTGGGAAAGTGAAGTAACTTCCAATTTTCTTATGTGCTGAATACACGTTAAGTGGATTTTAAAGGAGCTTTGTAGTCCCACCATGGTATAAGTCAAGGTTGGAAAGCCAATCCTACACTGGGCTGCGTGAGCAAGGGCAGAGCCAGCAGGGTGAGGAAATGTTCTCCCTCTCTGTTTGGCGCTCATGAGGTGGAATCTGGAGCACTGCAACCAGTCTTGGGGTCCCCAGGACAAAAAAAACCACAAAAACAAACAAACAAACAAAGACACTAACAAACTGGATTTGGTCCAACAGAGCAACATGAGAAGAGGCAAAGAGAATCAAGGTAGTTAAGCTTGAAGGACAGAAGGCTCAGGAGGGACTGTGTTCTGTTTCCAGATGCCAAAGAGGTGATTACAGAGGACCAGGAAAGACTCTCCTCAGTGGTGTACAACAAAAGGAAGGGAAGTGATGGGTACACACTGCAGAAAAGGAATATGAGACGATGCAAGGAGAAAAAAAATTCCATGGTGAAGGTGGTCAAACACTGGAAAGGGGACCACAGAGGTGTGGGATCTCTGTCCTTGGATCCAGTCAAAACTCAGCAGGAAGAGGCTCTGAGTAATCTCATCTGACTTCACATCTCTATCTACCTTCACAGTGAACACTGCTCTGGGGGAGAACTGGACCCTTTTGGAGAACAAGGTCCCTTTGAACCTAAACCCTTCCCCAGTGAGTTTAGGTGCAGCCTGAGTCTAAGCCCTTTAAAACACCTGCTCTACTTCAAGCAGCTAGAGATTAATTTAAAATCACCTGAAAACCTCCAGCACAGTCAGAGAAAATCCAAGGAAGAAAAAAAAAAAACAAAAAATCCAAAAATCACACAGTTTCCCATTTATTCTAACACAACCAGGTTTTGCTGTTGTTTCTTTGAACAAGGTGCTTGGTTACAGATGTCCAAGTGCAGTGAACAGCCCTGCACACGTGTGGATGGTGACTCTTTGCTGTCCCATCAGCCCAAATCCAGGGCTTGCCAGGAAAAAGCATCTGATGACTGCACAAGGTAAGCAAACACCAAAGGCACAGGACAGCACAGAGACAGCTGCAAGGCTCAGGAGTTCAACACTTAGTGCTGGCTCAATTTAGACAAAGTATTCAACCCTTTGGCATTGCAGCCTACCCTGCACAAATAGTCTCAAGTCTTGGACCTTTTGGCAGAAGGCCTCAGCACAGGCACTGTTATCCCACAGGGAATAACAATTCCAAGTGCCCGCTACTGCGAGTTATCAGCAGAAGATATAATCTGCCACAACCTTACCTGCTCTTTGGCTGCAAAAGACTCTGCAGGTACATGAAGCTCACCAGCAACCTCTTAATGTCTTTGCCTCTAAAGAGATGGAAGAGAAAACACTGTAAGGCAGGTGCCTCATCAGAGATGGCCAGGTCTGACAGAGCTCTGTTAACAGGTAAATCAGGTCTCAATTGAAAGCTGCATTCTGATGAAAGAGGAGGGAAAGAAGACAGTTCATATACACTGCCAAATTTCACCAATATGCCCCAACCCTCACAAACAGGCCCCAACTGCAGGGGAGAGTGAGAAAATCTCTCATCTCAAGCTAAACCTGGACAGCATTTAGCTTTTCTCCTGAAATTATGACCTGAGACATCAAAAATGTGATCTGGAGTGGGGCTCTTGAAATTCTGGGAGCAGTCACCGCATCAAATGGCCCATCTACTGGTTCCACTTCCCACAAAGACACAACTCTCAGTCCAGAGGATGACACTGGTGGCACTGCAGAGCCTCAGCCTGCAGCCCTCTCCTTTTCTTTCCCTTCTTACCGTTTCTTGCTTGGAGACAACTTCCTGGTTTCACATTTCTTCAGCTGGTGATACATCTTGGCTGCTTTGTCATACAGCCTCTTCAGGTTCCCATAGGCACCTTCGAAGGACACTTCAGACTGGATGCTGAGACACCAGAAGAGGACACAAGAAGACTTACTTTCCTACGAGGCTGCTCACATTTCATGGCTTTAACTCACTGGCAAGTTACTCAGGCATCGAGGCACAAGGACAGGTACCAAGTGCTGCTGTAGGGACACACTGGGCAACTTAACTCCCACTGACAGCTGCAAAGCCGGCTTCAGCTGCCCCACAGCTGCCACCTGCCTTGCCAGGGTCAGGTAACTGAATTCCACCCACCTCACTTGGCAGGGTACCTTCCTCAGTACCTCCACACTCTTCCTGCCTGGCTCTCCACCCAGGACAGGGCTGGGATGAAGCCCTCCAGGTGCAGCCCCGCGCAGGAGCTGAGCGACCAGCACGACGCTTCGGTTTGACCGAGGCTCGCTCTTACTCCCAGCCCTGCTCGAGGGTGAGCTAAACCCCTCTCCAGCCCTTCCCCTGTAATTCCTCTGCTGAAAACAGTCCCAAGTTCAAAGTGAAGGCAAAGAGGATCCTGTGTCTGCAGTGGCAGACCCACAGGCACTCACCAGCGTAGGTAGCAGTAGGTTGCTTCCACATTGTAGTATTTGCTGCCTGCCAATGTCCCCAACTGGTTGAAGGGCATTCCTGTCAGGAAGGAGAAGGGCAATGGAATTCACATGGAATTCTCCAACAGCCCCGATGAAAAGCACATCCTTTCCCCCTCACTTCATTTCCACACAGGAAGAAAGCCAGGAGACACAAACAGTAGTAAAGCTGCGGTACAAAGGTCTGGACTACTCAATCCTTCTGCCATACAGGCTTTGTTTTCTGTTTTACAGAGCTTTTAGATACTCCCCACCTTCTGCCCGTTATCTACATAAGGGAGCAGAGCAAACAATGCCTCCTCCTCTGTATTAACAATGCCATGGCCTTGACTCCATATTTCTCAACACAGACATCACCTTATCAGCATCCGAGAGCTCTGCTCCAGTTTACTGTGGTGCAGAAATTTTTGTCACTTATTTGGGACCAAAAGAGTTCAGTAAGAACTCCACAAAGACAGCATGGAGAGAACATTTGGCTGGAAATGCACACTTTAAGGTAAGACAGGCCCTCTACTCCGGTGCCGATGTGTTCCCAGAGGGAGGCACTTCTGAAGGAGGAAACAGCACAAGAGATTTTTTTTGCAGGGGGAAAACGTGGGAGGTGACCAATAATGCTCTGCTCTTGGCACTGGAGAGCTGGATCTGCCCTCAGCTGACAGGCACAATGTCACCAAACTCAGGGAAGTCTGAGCTTCTCAGAGGTTCTCAGATGAGTAAGGTGAAGTCACTGGCAAGGAGCACCCTGGCTTTAACTCCTCTCTTTGGCTTGCCAGCAAGGGAGGTTCTCAAAGGAAGCAACCCTAGCCAGAGGACAGAGCCACTCCTCTCCCAGCAGCAGGACATAAACCCGACCAGTGCAGCACCACGTTGTTTTCAGGTTGCGGCAACACAGTTTTAACAACCAAAAATTCACGGTAAGTCACTCACCGATTTGTGGTGCAACAGAAAGGGCTTGATAGTAAAACCGCTCTGCCAGCAGCTCCGTGTCCACACCTGCCAGCTCATTCTGGTAGCGAGCTGAAAGGAAACCACACACCGCGCATCAGAAACCCGAGGGCAGCGCCTGCTCCTCCCCACTGCAGCCCAGCACCGTTCCCCTACAGATTAAAAACACCACAGCACTTGAAATGCTGGCCAAGTCAACAAATCCATCACAGAACTGCTCCTGGCAAACACAGCAACACACAGGGTTTGCCAGGCCCTGTCTGAAGTTTTTTGTACCTGTTCGCACCACACACCACAAACTCTGCCCCTTCCGGGGGTGGGGCCCTCCACACTTGCAGCAGCACGTGAGCAAAGCGAAGATGTTCTGCTCTGCCTGTTATTCATCTATCCTTGAAGTAATTCAAGAGTTGTGCTCTATTTTCCAATACCTCAGACTATATTCTACTTACAGCAGAGTGTGAAATCTAAGTCAAGTCAGATGACTTAAAAAAATATCTGGCTGTGGCTAGACTGGACTTTATTAATTTTTTTTTCTTTTTTTTTTGGAAAAACATAGGCATTTTGGAAATCTTAGGTGACAGCACTGTGACGAGGTGAGCATGTTTCTCTCCCACCACTCAGGTAAGTCATTCCTACCACCCCACGAGACATTTATCTGCAGTGCCATTTTCAGGCTGATTCACGCACAACGGTAATGCCACACAGCTTTCACCAGCTGGGAGGCTGCAGAGGGTCAGACACACATACCCATGCCACAGTTCCAAAAGCTGCTTTCCACACAGTACATTCTCCCTGCCTTCACTCCCACATGTTCACAACCAAGAAGCTGACACACTCACCACACACCTCAGGAGAGCGTCACTGCGGGACAGACATGCCTGCTATAAAAAGGATGACACACGGCCAGGCACAATGACAAAGAACCCGGGGCTTTGCAGTAGCAAAACCCTGGACTGATGAACAATATTGCTTAAACCTGATTTTCTGTCCCACTGGTGCTGATGGCAGTGGCTCCATAAAGCAAGTCAGAACTGAGCAGTCAACTTGCTTTGAGTTTCCTTCACACTGTCCAAACCACGTAAATAAAAGCAAAGGCTTCCATTCTTACACACTCGGCAGCAAACTCATCTACGTGCCCAAAACCAAAGCTCCTGCAACTCACAGCAGTTCAGCCACGAGGATTTCAGCTCATCCCAGTCCGTGACAAAGGGGTCAGAGGGAAACAGAATCTGCAAGTAACCTCAGGTGGTGCCCAACAGTGACAGCCTCATGTGGCACAGGCACCATACTTTTCCTGTTTCAAAGGCTGTCCTTACCCAGATCTCCCAGGTAAACCAGACACCGGTGACACGCCATCTGCGCCCACTCCATCTCCTTCTCCGACGCAGACACGGGCTTCTTGCAGCCTGCAACAAACGGGAAATCACTGACAGAAAATACTCACAGACACTGCTGCTCACCCCCACCTGCCTTGGACACCCTGCTGACCGGAGCAGTGTGTGGGACCACATCACCAACAGTCACGGAAATAAATGATGTCACCTTGTCTACAAGGTCTGCTGCACTGACCTGGCTCCATCTGCCCTCAGATGAGAGGACAAAGGCCAATTCCTGTCTACAGGATCGGATGATCATGTCAATACAGGACTGAACACAAGCTACTGAGGCTGATTTCATGGCTAATGAGGCCTTTGGATGGGAGTGGGCACAAGTCCCTGGAAGCCAAACAAACTCTGTGCACTGGCCCTGGGACAGACCCTTCCCAACACTGAAGATGGAAATAAATTCATTGTCTCAAGACCAAGATCTAGACTTAGCACTGGCCAACCAAAAGAGAAGTAAAAGCAGGAAAAATCAGGACAGACCCCTGTGCTGTGGATAGGGTAGTTAGAGTCAGTTAGAGAGAAGTGCCTCTGGACAACACTGCCTTTGCATCCAGGAGGGAACCAAGCTGGTAGGCACACCCTGGGAGGAGTGGTATCAACTCCAGGCTTCTCCAGGTTGGAGAAGAAGAGGCTGGGGGAGACCTCATCCCTCTCTGGAGCTTCCTGAGGAGGGGAAGGTGCCGGTCTCTTCTCCCTGGCATCCAATGACGGGATGCATGGGAATGGTTCAAAGCTGCATCAGAAAGGTTTAGACTGAACATAAGGAAGCCTCTCTTTACCAAGAGGGTGGTCACACCCTGGAATGGGCTTCCTAGAGAGCTGGTTGATGCCCTAGGCCTGTCAGTGTTTGAGAGGCATTTGGACAACGTCCCTGACAACATGCTTCAACTCCTGGTCAGCCCTGAGTTGCTCAGGCAGTTAGACTGGACAACTGTAGATCGCTTCCTGCTGAAACAGCCTTGTCTGATCTATACTAAACCTACAAAGAAAAGGCAGTTCAGGCAGTGGAAAGTGTCAAAAGCAACAGGGGAAGGCTGCAGCCAGCTGATCTGAACTAAGTGAAGTCATCAAACATGACTCAGTTCCTGGGAAGGGCACGTCCCACCTCCCTCCGGCCACAGTTCGGCCACAGATCAGGAGGCAAAGGCTGCGGCTCCTGCGCCTCCTCTGGCAGCACAGACTGAGGCTGGGCTCGGTCTCCCTGCTGCCAAAGCTCCCACCTTCAGGAGGAGGAAGCTCCCTCAAGCAGGAATCCCAAAGAAGATTTTTAAGACTGATCCAGTCCATGTTCTGCCTCCCCCCTGGCTGAGGTTAAAAGGGTTGAAATGAAATCTGGAGACTGCAGTGAGGAGCTGTTCCCACTCACCAACAGGTGTTGTATGAGTGGCATTATACAAATACACAGCCTTAAATCTGTGTCCATGTGTGCTGTTGGCAGGGGACAACTTTTCTTTTTTTTTGCTCCCTTTCTTTTCTTGCTCTGAATCCTCTTGCTCCCATTCCCACAACCATCGAGTTGTGCCCACCCCGATCTGTGGTTCATACCAGATCCTTTCACATCCATCACTTCTGGATAGGCAGGGTTCCATCTCTATTCTCCAGTTACCTGCCAACCTGCCACATCCATTTAATTAAAGAGTCCAAACACACCAAGAAACCTGAACAAGGGGAGCTTTTCACATGCAATCATCCCCCAGGGTACAAACCCACCTGGAATGTGCACTTTGAGGATTTATTAATTCTGCAGTACTGAGATACATTTCTCAAAGCAACAGTTGCCAGGGACATCTGCCTTGTAAACCAACATTTCAAAGCTGATAGTGATACCATCATCTCCCAGAACTAAGAGTAGGATCTCAGCACCCAAAACCTTCTCTTGCTAAAGACACACTAACTTCTCTTAGCCAGGTGCTGCCGTCCTACCCCCTGCCAGTTTTTAGCATATCAGTTAAACCCCTGCTAACACAGTTCACAAAACACACACAGAGGTTTCTTTCTCACCTGGACCCAACACCCAAACAGAAACATGTGCCTTGAGGCAACCAAACACACCTGAAGGCAAATGGACACAGACCACTACAAGGCAACTGAGGATGTGAGCGCACAGGCAGCCTTGAGCTGTTTCAGGACTGTAAATACTCTTATTCTTCCTCCCCTACCAGGTGCAATACCTCAGATTTCCCTGCACCTAAGGGCATGCACAGAGATCACCTGAGCCAGCTGATGTGAGCTACAGGACCCTCCTGTCCAATACTCAACAGTGGTTTCAAAGCCACACAGTGAAGGAAGCACAGGCAGGAGAGGGACCAAGAAGAGGAACAGTGTCTTACAGCGACTAGGATGCACTGAAAGAAATGTGTTGATCTCAAGAACCTATTCCTCTGTTTGTCTGCTTTAATTAAGCTTTTTAAAAACATTCTGTACAGTCAGCAGAGCTCTGCAATTTTCCATAAAAATCTACCATCACCAGACATTTAACTACAGAATTTTCTAACGCCTTTTTCTTTTAGAAACCCTTCCTTCTTCCCTGATTTAGTATTATAAAAACCAAACAAGTGCCATGGAGAAGAAAGCAGGACAGAAAACTTTCTGTTCTAGACAGAAAACTCGCTAATAACCCCTTGAATGCTGAGACAAAGATGGACTCGTGCAAGGGGAAGCCCGCCTGTCCGGGGGTTCAGCCCTGCCCACGAGCCCCACGCCCCGAGCACAAACCTATGAGAGGGTCCGTCACGTGTGTCCAGTCGATGCAGCACTGCAGCTCCAGCTGGTAGTGGGACTGGATGTAGAGCAGGAGGTGCTGGTAAAACCCTATGCCAGCCACCAGGTGGGTCCGGTAGGCGCACTCCAGAGTGCTGCGGCTGTGGATGTGCTGTGGGAAGGAAGAGGAGCATGTGAAGGCAGTCCAGGAAGCGAGACAGTGGCTGGCTCACCTGTTTTGCACAGCTCTGCACCTCCTGCTCAACACTGTTGCCCCTAGTGGTGTTTACTAAGGGTCAGCATCAAGGAGAAACACTTGCAACAGCGAATAAAATCAAGCTGCCTGGTTAGAGCACCTTAAATACGGCCAGGCCCACGGGTGACCAGGGGAGTTCACAGCATCAGAACACCGTGAGGACCTTCCAGTGATCAACTCTCACAAAAGCAGTCAGCACTGGAGAAATCTGTCTTATGAAGTGGGGAACACAAAAAACCAGCCAGTTCTGCTGAAAAGCCCTCTGCAATGGCAGCTCTCTCAGCAGCCTGTTGGCACTTACCTGCCCACTGCTAAAGGCACGGGGCAGCTCCACGATAAGAATTTGGGAGCCCCCAGCTTCCCACCCTGGACTCAGACCACAACTTCTCCAAGCAGATGAAGCTTTCAACTTGGCCTTATTCAGTGCACAACCAGGGACCTTCTCACGCCAGAGCCACAGATACTTGCCTTTTTATTCGTTTTAATGAGCTGGATGACTTCATAGTAAACTTTCCTCCAGAGCAGTTCTTCTGCTTTTCTTCCATAATCCACTGGATGCAGGAACATCAGCTTCACACACAGCTCCCGCAGCCTGGGACAGACAGCAGAGCATTGACAGTGAGCTGCTGCAGCCTCAAACACAGCTGCCACTACAGAAGCATCTGAATCCACTACGGTAGCTAAGCCAGGACAGCTGGTGGTGATACAGCCTGGGTGACTCCCACAAAAGAGCACCTGGAAAAGCTGTACACCCAAAGCGGTACCCCGGGCTCAGCTGGCCAACAGTGACTCCCTAAAGTGCAGTTAATGACAAGAATTGGCTTGACAGCTGAAAAAATGAGTCAGAATAATCCTCTCTGCTTGGCACCCCCCTGAACCTGATAAAAAGTAAAAAGTTTCTGCCCTCATAGTTTTTATTACCAGGAGGGAACCAGTCAACACAAACACAGTTTATCTGTATCAGTGACACCCAGGAAAGCATCCAGCTACAGACTGTGTGGTTAGTGCTGCTCAAATGCAGACCTGAAATCCAGCCTCTGCTTCCAAAATCTGGAGGGACCCCAGGTCGACAGGCACACTACAAACCATATACACTGAGAAACTCCACATTCAACAGCCCCACGTGTTGCTTCACACGGATTTTCCCAGGCCAAACACAAAACCCAAGCGTCCTGCCCAACTTACTTGTTCCTCAAGCTGATGTTCTCTGGCTTGAACACGTCCTGATATGCTGCCTTGTTGCCGAGGATGAGATCCAGTCGATGCACGGCCTCGACCACTGCCCTGCGTGGGAACACAGAACCAAGAGCTTCAGCTGTGGTGAGCTGGGATCACTGGGGGTGATCTAATCTGAGTTAGTCCCACTGTCAGCACCCCACCCTGTGCCACCACACCACAGCCACTGATGGCCTTCCTGCACTCTACTCGAAGAAGGTTATGGGAAGCAGAATAAAGCAGAGTTAAACACTGTGAGGGTTTTGCTGCAGAACAGCTCTTTAATCACCACTTACTGCTGCCTGTCCAATCAAAAATGGCAATTAGTTCCAAAGTTGCAAAGTCAGAAATATCTCTGGACACATTAGCAACTTCTGACCCCAGCAATTAAACCTGCTATGCCTATTGAGATTAATTTAAATGTCTTAAACTCTGTGATTAAAACAACGCATTGATTTCTAACAACCACTGTTGTGATAGGAAGAATCAAACCTCCACCAACTCCTGCTCCCTTACCAACTTGCCTATGAACTCAAATCGCTCATTTCCCAAAACTTCCCTGACTTTGCTACAGGGATTCACTGGTTAAAGCCCTTAAAGATCTCTCAGAGACAGGTAACAGAGATATTCAAAACCAGCCTAAAAGAGGAAATTTGTTTTGAGTTTTTTTTTCCCCCTGAAAGCCAGCTGAGAGAGAGGAAGCGACCTCCAACCCTTTTGAATCATGCAGAAATACTTCTGGGAATCACTGCCCAAGACTTTCCTCTTGGAGGAGGAATCCCACGCCACGTGCAAAATTCAAGCACTCAGAAGTTTGTACTCAGAACAAATCAGACCACAATTCCAAATGCTGCAGTGAAACAGTCCCAAGGACTTTCAGCAGCATTAGCGCTGACAGAAAGAACCTCATCAATAGCTCATGGACAGCTCGATAAAGCACAATCAACCATCAACACTTCTGACACGAGAGGTCACCTCCAACCTCTCTGCCTGTGCTCTGCCCCTATCCAAAGGTCACTCCTGAAGTCAACTCTTCCCAGCTGTTGACTCTACACGCTACTCTCTAAGCAAGCCATCCCTCAAGCCATCAGCCACAAACTCCACCAATCCTTGTTCTCTCCCTCAGCCCACTGTCACTGTGTGTTTCCCCAGCACCTGAGCTGAGCCCACCACAGAGCCCACCACAGAGCAAACTCCTGAGCTGCTGTGGCCACACTGCTCCCCCTCCCAAAATCTCCATGCCTGCTAAATGGGAACTGTCCTGTTACACTCGCAGCACCCATTGCGTGGTGACTGAACCTGCCAGGGTGCACTGATGGCAGATGGAGCACGGGGCCAAAATAAACCAGAGCTGGGGAGGCTGAAACCACCACCACTTCCTTGAAAGCTACAGATATTACTGCAGAGTAACTGACAGTTTCCTATGCCAGCCCCTTCCCAGCAGAGCCAACCTTCAGTCACAAACCCACCACAACAAAAGGAACCCCCGTGAAAAAAACCCGGGACGTTCCGGAGCTCGCAGAGGAAATGTCCCACCTCCTGCCGTGCCACAAGAAGCCTCTCACCCAAGGGAACTGGAAATGTCACTTCAGTAACCATAGAACCTGACAGAAGAAGGAAGCACGGGGAACAGAAGTGTCTTATGCAACACCTTGGGAGATCAAAACACCACAGGGCCGAACCAATTTCTTCCTGAATAATCATGAAGAGAACCAGGGAGGGAGAAAGAATCACACACAAAATCCTGCTACATCCTCGACATCCAGCCCCTCCTGTTCACTGACCTCCTTCTCACACGGCCTGATGGGCCTTTGCAACCTCTGACAGCCCAATGCCCTCAACAGCAAGGAAGTGAATAAAAAACATTTTGGATGAAGGGTAACGAGCACTGAGGATGCAGCACCCAGACAAGCTCACAGTGGGGTGGGGGCACACCAACAACCCCCCCCAGGTTAGTTTCCCCGAAACAGATCCCCACAAAGCACAGGCAGGGCACATCTCCTCACTGCAGCTGCTGTCCCGGCTGCAGCTCTCAGAGCCCCTCCCAGCACACCAGGAGCTGACTGGCTTCCTGTGCAGAAGGGTGACCAGGGGAAAGGGGAACTGCTGCTTCACTGGATTCCCAGGGAGAACTACAGGAAAACTACAGTTGTCCATTTCCGACGTGGGCAGACTCCACCTCCTCAGAGCAGCTGTAAAACCACAGTCACAGGTGTGAGCACCTGTGTCCAAACCCTCACGTGCAGGTTAATTTTATTTGGAGCCTCAACACTGCCTCCTTCTCCTGACATTTACTCCACTCAAATTCCCCTATGGGCACACACTCCAGGTTCTCTCACAGCCAAATAAGGCTCTGATTTTTTTATATCCTGAGGGAGGGTCACAAAACCCCATCTAAGAATCCCCTTGAGTTCAGCAGTGTCAGAAATGCAGCACAACACTCCTCAAATGGCAGGAATTTCTCAAACAGCAGTTGCCAGATCCCCTTCCCAGTGACCAGCAAACAGGCAGCTATTTACTTGCCCACAGCATCCATGGGCAAGAAATGGGACCGAGCCATGAGAAAGCTTTACCCACATGCACCAGGACTCAAGGCCCTGCCAAACTAGAAGTACAGAAAAGGTTCCTTCCAGAGGTGGGCCGAGCAGGGACACTGGAAGGTATTTCACCTTCCCCTCAAGGTGGCCCAGAGGGCATCTCCTGTACAACCTCGTGTCCAACAACAGCCCAGGATGGGCGCGTGCAGACACTCGGTGCTTCTGCTGTTCTTCCAGGTTTGTGAAGGAAGAGGGAGCTGGTGGCTGGAGAGCAGCGAGGTTTACACGCTGGGATGTGGTTCCTGACCCTAAGACAGGCCCCACACTGAAACGCAGACTTGTCCACACGGGCCACCTGGTGCTGCTTGCAGAGGAAGAGGCAGGAGCAAAGCAGGATCTGTGACAGTTGGGGATGACCTGCCAGGATCTGAGGTGCTGAGGAAAGGGGACTCAGTGAGGACAAAAGGTACAGGAACCAGCCTCACTGCAGAAATGCTGGGAGACAGCAGTGCAGGCCCTGTGGACCACGCACTGGTAAAAATGCCCTTCAGCATCTGCGCCCAGACTGGCCTGAGACCGCGGGCTGAACTTCATTTGGCAGTTAAGAGGCCAAATCCTGTCCCAGGATCCATTTTTCTACCTGCTGGGTTTAAACGTTGCTTTCAGACAGCCCATCAGAGCCACAGAGGAGGCAACTCAGATGCCAGTCTATTAAAAGAATCAAGTACAGCACATGGTGCCAGGCAGGGTGGAAACGGGCCGGTGCCAAGTCCTCTCCAGACATGCAGACACCGATCTGTCCCCTTCCCTCTGTGCCATTAACGGTCTGGGATGGGGAAGCACAGCAGGCAGAATTATTTGTCCCCTCTCTGTTTCTTTATTTAGTACATCACTAAGAGCCACAGCCCCTGAGGAATAAGACGTTCCTCAGGGAAAATACCTGCAGCCGTTCATGACACGTGTCAGTCACAAATCCCAGTGCCCAGAACGGGCTCCAGACAGGAACAGCAACACCAAGTCCACGAGCTAATGGTTACCCAGAAACCTGTCAAATAAACCTGGTCACCCAAAGCTACAGCATGCACTGGAAAAGAGCACCCAGGATAATCCAGTTGCCACGTTCCGGGAAGAATCAATACGGGAAGATTTGGAAAAGATCAAGGAGAGCCCTACAAGAGCAGTGGACACCTTCCTCTCTGAAAGGACACACAAACACACTGCCAAGGGCCGTGGGGACCTGAGCTCAACTCCCACAGGCAAACACAGCAGTGATCCCATGGGATCAGAGCCCAGAGCTGGGACTGGGGCTGTGACAATTCACACCTGTGACTCAAAGGCGCCGCTTGATGCCACGGCCACGAGTTCCCAGAGAGTACACTGAGCACACAACCCACCCAGGGCAGGAAGGTCCTGCTTCACCCAACCCCACTCCAGGCCCAGACAGGACTGACAGGAGACTGCTGAGGTGGGAACTCGCTCACAGAGCTCTCAGCTACGGAGAAGGAAATTTGTGGCCACTGCAGGTACCGTAAATCCTGCACTGAAATCACAATCCTGCACTGAAATCCTTCCTCCCAGCTAAAGGAGAGCTGTCCCTGCAGGAGAGGGGGTTTCTTTGTCTGCTGCAAAAATGCTCCGAAGCAACCACACACTTTATTCTGCCATAAAAACTCAAACAGAAGCGACCCTTCCTTGGCTGGATGACAATCCCTCACCTGGCCACAGGCCATTGCAGTGCCAAGAAAGGCACCCACTGCACCTCCAAAGTGCAGGAAAGTGCTTGCACCATGATGGAAACAGAGAGAGTCCAGTAAGCAGCACTCAAACCTGCAACTACTGCCTGGGATTCCTGGGCATGGACCCTGCCACAGGCTCCAGCAGGAGGCAAAGCCCTGTCCTGCTGCAGGAGGGCGGTGAGGTCCCACGAGGTGAAAGGACAAGGCCAATGTCACCAAGACAAGAAGGAACAGATCCCGACGTAAAATCCGTGCCTTGTCTTCATCTCTTGGCTCATCTTTGAAACCCACTGTCCATGCTGGAACTCCACCACGGTCCTGCTGTACTGACAGAGAGCTGGGGCCAGCAGAGGGAAATTCCTGGGCCACCCTCACAACACGAGGCGTGAGCGGAGCAGAGGCAGCTCGGGACTGACAGCAGGACCCTCATCCCACGGGGACTGGGCTCACCAAGGCTGGCAGGACTGCTCCACTCTTGTCCTCTGATGCCATTTCCAATGCACGGTGTGGGGACACAGGGCAGAGTCCCAGGGAGTGTTTTATTGGGAAGATCCATCCCAATATGATCCCACATCGCCCCTTGGCTGACCCATCTCCCCTGGAGCCCCCAGGCCCCTTTTCACCAGTGCTCCCCTCCCATGTGTTGCTCTGGATCCCACACAATCCCCGTATCCCCCTTCCCTGCTCCCCGGTCTTCCCTAAACCTTCTCCTTTCCCTTTGCACCGCACACTTTCCCTGGATTCCCCGCCCAACTTCTTCGCGTCGATCATCCCTAAATTCCACCATCCCTCTCCCCTGTTTCCCACAATCTCCTCTAAATCCCGCTACCTCCTTCCCCCGTCCTTCCCGAACGTGCCTCCGATACCCCTCGCCT